AGACTGACCTAATCATGAATTTCCACAGTATAAATTTATCAACCTGAGTCAAGAGTGAAAAAAGCAAGTATATTAATGTCCAGGAAGACGAAGACGAAGAGTAGAGAGTGGGAATGGGATTCTAATTTCTTATTTTCTTCTTTCTTATTCACCTTTTCACTGCAGATGTTTCTTATCAGTGGCCTCAGCTTTCTGTTGTAATATAATTGGAAAATGCTGGGATTGGCTGCTTTTCACTGCCAGAAGCCAAGTGAACAGAGACAGAAACTGAATCTGTAACATACACTTCGATGTCTGAAAGCTACGGATCTGAGACAATGGGGGTATTTTACCCTAAAAGCCAGTTGTAACATTTCATCTCAAGCTGGTCATTTTCGGGTGAACTAAACCAAGACAGTTAATCACAAAGGAATTTCTCACCTCAGCAGCCCATCAAGGTCAGCGCACTTGCTTTGTCACATCCCCAGAGTTTGTGGTAGCCCCTTTGTCATCTGGACACAGGTACACCTTGATTTCCTGCACCTGGGAAAGCATCTTTTCTTTCTTGATGGTGTCAATGTCCAACTCTTCTTCAGACACTACTGGGGCAGAACTCAGTTCAAAACAAGATTTTCAGTTTAAAGAAAACAGATCATTAATTACATGGTATTTGCCTGTGATCTGTGTATATGTACAGATTCCTGAACTAGGCCCAGTGTTTTGTTCCTTCCTCCCTACCCCTTATTAGCAGTAATCTCTGATCTGACATTTCACCTTGTCCTGGACTCGATTTTGTATGAAATTCTTGACTCATACAAGTCCTCTTCAAATTGATGCTGCTGGTCACAAAATGAGGCCTCCTTAAATGTCCCCAGGGTTCACAGGCACTTCTGGATTCCTGGGCTCCATGTTTTTGATTTCTGAGGTTTTTCTTCATTTTCTTGTGACTCAGCGGTACACTTAAATAGTCTCTACAAATGTTTCATCAAGCATTTGTCAGTATTACATACAAGGAAATCTTTTAGGATCTACTCTCAAATTTTAAATGAGTTACCATTAACTTTTAGCTCAAAGTTTGGAGGCACTTGCATAAACAAATCTGAGCATCTTATTTTCTACTGAACTACCAGAATATCTTCCAAAGTAACTTCTCCCATTTAAAATATTTGTGCATATTGGAAAACAGAACCTATCTTGAAACATTTAATTAGAAGACCAGGTCTGAGAGTTTAATTTGCATTTCCTGTTGATAAGGAAAATTTGGGATTATTGTGGTCAAGGCATTTCCCACCCCTCTCTCGACATTATTATGTTAATCAGAGGAAATGTATTGAAATTTCAATGCACATGGCCCCATGTGAAGAAACGGAGGACTGACAAAAAGAGTTTTGTAATTCTTTTTAATTCACTATCAACTATGTAAGGTTGAAATAACATTTTGGTAATTTAGCTAAAAACTAATAAAAATTAAGCACTGAGGTGTTAAAGATCTAGATTTCTCACTGAATGAAGTTTAGTTACTCAATCCTCCTTGTAAAGTGAGAAAAATAGTGTCCCATTTTTGAATTCCCCCAAAAGGGTCAATAGGTACAAAATAGGTCTCTTGTTACCTTGGTGCGGGAACAAGTGGTCAGTCATGGCCCATGGGTTTGTTACTATCTAATGCAGATTATTTTGCATAAAGGCCAAGAGAAGCTTCTGTTCTTGTTCAAGTCCTTTGCCCCTCTCTAAATCTCTTCCTAATCAAAGCGAACAGTATCTCCTAAACTTCTACCCTTTCCTAATCAAAGAAGCAATCTCTGCTCTCCCTTTCACGACCAGGAAGAATGTAATTTTGAGAATTCATCCATTTCTGGGTGTATCAGTAAGCATGTTATCTATAAGATTCTCATTTCTAATCTGAGTAAGGATAAGGTCACCACCCCCTCCTTGTCCATCAGGTTGAAGTCTCCTGCTCTCGGTCCTTGATGGTCCTGGTCTTAAAACAAAGGATAAATATTCCTAAATCACTTTATTTTCTTAAGAAATGTGAACTCCTCGTACTTATGTTAATAAGTTGATAGTTTTTCCTTGCTAATTCATCTCCTAGTGCTGTTTTGCTCTCTCTTCCAGTCCAAGAAAAATGCAAAGGGATGTGTGATGATTTCATTTGCATCCCCACAATTTAAAAGGAACTGGGCCTGTGAAAAATTGTTATTTGTGATGCCTTTTAAAAAACAGAGTCAGGGAATCATCACAGAGAAACTGCATTATCTGTCTTATTTAAGCTGGGTCTAAGACCTCTGGACTTGGCCAAAAGTAATTGTTTTAAGAAGCCATCAAGCAAACAATTGTTTGAGAAGTCATTGCATTATAAAGACTGATGATTATGGACTTTTTACAGGATAGGATCAGTATCCACAATTATGTATAGCCAAGAATAGTCTAAAGTTAGCACCAATTAACTTTTCTTTAAACCACTAACCTCTTTTCTTCTCATAAAAAAAATCCTATCTTGGCCTCCCTGGTGGTGCAAGGGGTTAAGACGCAACCTATGACTATGAAGCTCTCCCAGCCACTGCAGCAGGAGTTCAATCTCCTCCCCCCACCCCCAACCTGCAAACCAAATGGCACAGCGGACCTCTCCTGACTCGCCCACTGCTCCCCTCAGCAGTGTATTTCAGTAGATCTACCTGTTCTGCTCCCCACTCTGTCTCTGGTGAATCTTCTCACCCTCCACACACCTGGACTATACCCCAGTTCTTGTATGCATAAATAAATAAATCTTTTTTAAAAGTCCTATCTTTTTATTTCCCTCTTTGGGAAACTATTTGGGTTTTCTACCTTATTCTGTGCTCCCAAATTGCAATTCTTTGATCCCAAATAAACACCACTTGCTTTTCTAATTGCCACCTGAACTTTTAGGTTGACAGTCCAAATTACAGTTGAGATGCTTCCCAGTGGTTTTAACTTAGCCAAACTCCTTATGCTCATTTGTGGGGTAATTACACCCATATTTTAGGGTTATTGTGAGGATTAAGTAGTATTTACAACATGCACAAAAAAAAAAGAAGTAATGCATAGAGATATGGAGAGAGTACTTGAACAGTCTACACATTTGATTTCTCTATATTAATGTAATATTTAATGATTGAAGGATGCCAATTTTGTCAATGCAAAGGAACTCTTCTTTCTAGCAGAGAGTCATTTTGATATCAAAAAACAGGTAATTCCAAGTTCAAGAAATTCCACCTATATTTCAGTGAATTACCCAACGGGGGTATGTGTGTATTAGTGTGTACGTGTGTGCGTGCAATTACATGTGATTGGAAGGTGAAAAGGAATCAATGTTAAACCTACGTATACACTTGACATTGAACTAAAAATCATGGAAATAAACAAACAAACAAAACAAAACAAAACAAAAAAAACACAAACAGGGCCTCCCCGGTGGCGCAGCGGTTGAGCTTTGGGTTGCGAAGCTGTCCTCGGCCTCTGCGGCGCCGGTTCGATCCCCGGCTGCTCCTCGGCCACCGGAGGAGGGTCCCACAAGGCACACAGACCTCTCCTGCTGCCCACTGCTCCCCTCAGCAGTGTACTTCGGTCCTTATGCCTGCGCTGCTCCCCGCTCTGGCTCTGGTGAATTCTCTCACCCTCCCGTGCTTCTGACAGTACCCAGTGCATATATAAACAAAAACAAACAAACAAACAAATAAATAAAACATGCCTCTATAAAAAAAAAACACACAAACAAACCAGGGGATATTTAGTTTTGGGCTCTTTGACACAGCTGTAAAGACAGCTGTAAAGACAGCTTTTACAAAGGAATAGCAAAAAGCATTTTTGTGCAAAAAAAAAATTTTCTTGCTTTTTTAACTTCCTGGGAAAGAATCACAAATCCTACACGAAAATGATGTGTGGCTTGGCTGCATTAAAATGACAGGGGTCCAGACAAGTTACAGCTAATTTTAGTAGGTACAGCAGACACACACTTCAGCTTATTTTTCTCCCGCTCTATTCACTCCCATCCCAACCTCTCAGGTACACACGTTACAAGCCTCCCTAGTCAGGAGGTGGAAGTGGAGAGTTCAGTAGAGTGGAGCTCTTGAAATCATAATTGCTTAGACCAAGAAAAAGAAAGGAAAGGAAGAAAGAGATGAGCGGGAAAGCAAAGGAGGAGGAGGAAGGAAGAAGACAAGGAGAGAGGGAGAGAAAACAAGAAAAAGGAAGGAAGCTTAGAGGAAGGAAAGACCCTGGAGAGGGAGAACGACGCAAAATGAAGAGGGTGAGAAAATGGTTTTGTCTCAGGTCAACTAGAGAGAAACAGAACCTGCAAGAGCACTTCGGAATCCTCAGAGGCAACGCATTGTTTTCTTGAAGCCCCGAAGCTAAGCAATTCCAAGAATGTTTGGCAAAGCTCTTTTGGGAAGGGTGTGCAGGGCGAACGAAGGGCGGGGGCTTCTCCTACAGCCCCCCCACCGCCCCCTCCCTCGTCCCCTTCGCAGGACGTGACAGGGTTGGGGAGACCCAGCGGAAACCTTCAGGTCACCCAGGGAACTGCTCGTCTCGCGGGTCCTGCGGCGGCGAGGCGGAGGTGGGGTGAGCGGGGCGCGCGGGGATGTGTAAGTGGCGAAGCTGGACCGAGCGCAGGCGGGAGCAGCGCCCAACTCCCCGCGCGGGATCCACCGCGAGGCCACGGTGAGTGTCTCCGGGGGCGGGGGGCAGGGGATGCCCGGGTTCCCCCGCGCCTCCGGGACCGGGCCGAAGCGGGCCCGGAACCTCGCAGGAGCCAGACCTGGGCGCGGCGCCCCTCCGGGCGCGCCCGGGGGCGCACGGACTGACCGGCGCGCGCCAGGCACCCAGCCGCCCGGCCCCGCGCGCTCATTGGTCGGGACGTGTCTGCTCTGCAGCCTCCAACTTCTCCCGAATCCCACTGGTGAGTCCCGGGAGAACAAGCCGGCACCTGGAGCGGAGGGACCAGGGTCCGAAGGGCGCGAGAGCCTGGGGGCTGGGAGTGGGTGGGACGCACGCGGAGGGCACCGCGGGCCAAGGGAGCAGCTGTTCTGGGGGGCGCAGGAAACTGGTTCCTCTGCTCCAGTCCCGGGCGATCTAAGGGCCCCGAGCGCCCGGGACCCTGCAGCCGGGGGCGAGGGAGGCGTGCCCTTGGAAGGAGCCGCCGCTGGGATCTGGAGAGTGAGGACGGAGTGGGGTGACCGCTGGAGGGCTCCGCAGGTGAGGTCAGGTTCATTTCCATAGCGCCCGGTAGCTTCAGTCTGGGGAGTTATGTTTGCTTCGGAGATCGCGCTACCAAAATCCTTCGGGGCTGATTTGGGGGCTGGGAATTTGCCATTCCGCTGCACAGACACTGATTTTTATTTTTTTAAAGCAAGGTTTGTTTTCATTTTGGTTTCTGTCGAATTTTTTTCCTCCTTGGTAATTCACTTTTCTATTTTTACTTTTCCTAATCTAAAGATCTCTTCATTATCCCACCTCTTCATCTTGCTCCGAACCTTAGTTTCCTATTATATAATTTATGCTGAGAGAGGGCTTAAATCACACCAGGGTTGGTTGGCGGGAGTAGGGACGAGTTATTTTGTATAGCAAAGTTCATTAATGAATCGATCTCTGTTTGTATTCTTTGAAAATACGGCTCTTTGCAACCGAACACTGCTCTTTGGCGCCTTGATCAAGTCTGTTCCTCCCTATATATAATGTAAACGGTAATTTTATTAAACTGGAAAGTAGAACCTGAGTTGCAATGTCAGCATTTGGAAGCTGCTAGTCGGCAGATCTGCTATGGAGGCGTGTTGCTTCTTCACTCTTTTGCATTACTGTCGGGTGTTAGAACTTAAAAGGAAAAAAATATCCAGTTGTTTCTTGGCCTCGGTGCTGTTTCTCTGATTGTAGAGCCACACTGCTTATGGGAGTAATGTGGTTGGGACTTTGTGAGAACTCCACATATCAGGCCCAGGGAACACCTGCAAATTAATGTGGGTGAAACAGGGAGGCGATTTCTCCTCAGCTTCTTCAGCTACAGTCTAAATATAGAACCTGTTTCTCCTGCTTGCTGTGCCTCAGTTTCCATAATACAAACTGTCATTGCACAGTGTGCTGTCAGGGACTTGCAGAAATTTGAATCTAGTAATGTGCTGTGAAGATAGAACATGGCTTGGGTGAAGAGACTTCCCTTTAAGGAATCAGTTATTCTCTAGTCGCTCCATCTGTGAAAGCGTCTACTTTGTGGTTTAAGCTTCTCACACATCTCCACTTAAGGTGCAATATTTTGAGAATGTAGATATATTACAGCATATTCTGCTTTCAATGAGACTACAACTTTATATATATATATATATATATATATATATATATATAGTATTTTTGTATGTACTTGTGTCCCATTTCCTCTGCCTCTAAAGTGGGGTTAGATGTGGTCAAGTTGAGTATTTAAATATATGGGAATTGGTGATGTTTCTTCCTGAAGTTCAAGATTCTGAGCCCTATTAGAAAAGTGACTTGGCCGAAATTAACTGGAAATGAATAACAAACTTAATTAGGAGGTTGCACTTGAATCATTTCTCCTTTGCTGTGTGCTTCTGAAAAGTGCTACTTGGGAGCAAAAGACTTCTTTGAAAACTGCAAAACATTTACGAAGAAGAGCAGATAGAAAAAGTTTGCAGGTGATTCAAAAATGATATTCTATTGCTACACATAAAATAACTAAACAACTTTAGCCATGACCTTCATTTCCCTGTAACAATTTCTGAAACATTAGGTGTAGAGCCAGCACAGCCCAGCTCCTAGTGCCCCAGTCTGAAGGTGAGGAGAATCTAGGGAGAAGTAATCCAGAGGGGAGAAAGACATGCCTGCCTATGGTGTTCCTGAAGATGGAAAGTTGGTTGGTGCCCAAGAGCACTTTAATTTAACCCTGTGTCTGTCCTAAGTTCTACTGGGGAAATGAATTGTTATTTCTAAGACTAATAACAGAAATGAGTCATATTATACCAAGAAAATGTTTCTCTAGGTTGTCTTCTGAAATATCATTAGAACAGGGGGAGAAATACTCAAGAAAGGGAAGTATTTGAGCAAATGTGATTAATATTCAGATGTCCTGTATCTCAGTCTCAAAATATTCTGGAGAAACCAAGAAAATTCTCCTTTTATTGTTTACCTCTCTGTATGGTGTCCAAGTATTAAATTTGTTCCCATCTTTTCTTCCCCAACCACCACCCCATTAAAACTACAAGGACTCCCGATCAATGCAATTCCATATCATAACCCCAGAGGCTGTGAGACTGAGCCAACATGAGTTACATAACCATTAAGTAAGACATTTTAACATTCGGGTACATTATGTTCCATTTATTGAGTAGACAGGTTTTTCATGGGCTAATAAAATATTTTTATTTGATAGTCTGTCCTTGGTTATAGCCTCATGTAATCAAGGGGACAGCGTGCTGAAGACTTTGTATCCACAACCTTATAGTTGTGATACAACTTAGGGATACAACAGTTGTGATTCACTTATTAATAACTCCTTGGGAAGATTAAATTCTTGGTTCTCTGCTGGATATCCCAAGCCACACTTCCAATGTACATTCTCTTTCCATTTTATCCTGTGCCTCAATTTCCACAAAGCACACCTTCAGAGAATTTTGTGTTTTTAATAAAGGTTTCTAACTATAAGAACCTTTCTGGATAGTCCCCTTATTTGGGAACTTAATTATATATTTAATTAGTTTGTATGAAGCTATAAACAGCTAATGTGTTAATTTATCATACCCCTTTTCTATAGACAGGCAGAAAAACTCAGGTTGTCTATTCTAAACGTTCATGAATGACCCATAAAGAATCACTAGACCTCTGAAAGAAACACAGTGAAATTTAATATTTAGGCATATATCCTGTTCATTTTTCCCTTGAAATTCTGCAATAAGATCTCAAGTAGCTTTTACTGTACGATGATGCAGGTTTACTTCAAACAATGACCCTATGTGTTCATTGTAAAGAACACTTACCAGTTGTGTGTCCATGGACAAGTTACCTAATGCTACTGAGTCCCACATTCCTAAGGTATGAAGTTAGAATATTAATATCTACCTTACAAGGGTAAAATGAATTGCTCCATGTCTAGCACTAAAACCTGTCACTGACACATGGGAAGTAGTCAGTAAATGTCACCTATTATTAGAGGAAGAAGAACAATATATTATTCATAGTTTTAAAAGCAAGTTATGTAAATAGCCTATTAGTTGTTGCCCTGACCTGCAAGATAGTATTTTTAATGATTTTTTTTCTTACAGTTGAGTAAAAAAAAACATTAATTATGGTTAATATTTTTAAATTAAATATAGTTAATATTTTTCATCCTTGGGTATGAAGCACTGACTTTTGGCCACTGATTTGAGTATTTTCAGCATGTCTAGCTAACAGATACCGATATCACCAGTAGTCATTATTTTGAATGGTAAAATTGTGAACTGTAAAATTAAAAACTGTAATAAGTTGTTTCTACACTAAAAAGAAAATGCCACAAGTGTTTGTTCCCTTTTTTTATCTATGCAAATTTCTAATTATTGCTTAGTCAAAAAACGTCATGGTATTATTAGTCATTGATTTCTAAGCTGATAAAGGATGTCACCATTGGTGCAAGATATAAAAGTCACCTTTGACATTATTCAAAGTTCAGAAGGGTGAGTTTAAAACTTTGCTTAATGATCGTGCAGCTATTATTTACTTTGAACTGCTGAAGGAACCCTATGTGAGTACTCAATAGAGTGTTGTCTAATTTTGCTTGGATCTTCAAAATAAATATAGCCAAAAAAAAAAAAAAGACACAAAAAGTTGTGACCAGGAACTGCCAAATTCATCTGGCTGTCTATTCTGTTTTCAGAATAAATTTTTCACTTTCAATAAAATTTTTATTTCTAATTTAAGATAGATTAGTCTTTTACTTTTGTGTAGCCATAAATATTTGGAAAACTGTGTATATATTTGCTATTCTGCTTATATCTTTATTAATTTGTTGTTTTTAGTACTTAATTCATTTTTTTGGGCAGATTTTAGGTGATGGGCAGATCAGAAAGTCAGATGGATATAACTGATATCAACACTCCAAAGCCAAGGAAGAAACAGAGATGGACACCATTGGAGATCAGTCTCTCTGTCCTTGTCCTGCTCCTTACCATCATCGCAGTGACCATGATTGCACTCTATGCAACCTATGATGGTGAGTTCCCCAACCTTGTACACACACGTAAATGTAGAAAGAAGTACCAGTCTTGATCCTATGCTTTTTCCATCTACCCAATGAATATGTTAAGAACACAATGATATAAAGATTCATTTATAGGATGCAATATGTCAAAATGTCAAAAGAATTAACTTTGACTAAAGTACAAATCTTTTATGTTTGAGCTAAGTTATTAATTGCCAAGTATATTCAGTGCAATCATGTTATTTTATGAGAATTTAAATGTATAATTTTACTTAACTAAAGTATACACCATTTTATGGCCAACTTCAATTAGTCAACTTTTGTGGTGTCATTGAAATTCTAAAGAGCTTCATAGGAATTTAAGAGGTCTAATTGGAGTCTTAGAAGATTTTCATAATAAGGATTAGAAAGGATTGGTTCTTAATTGGGAGGAAAAGTGATTACTGTTCTAAAACAAATGATTCTTTCAATTTAGTCAACCTAGGACTTAGGGGGTAAGGATGATATAATAAATAGATTATTTTGTTTAGAGTAAAAATTTTAAATTTAGGATTTGCTTATTTTGTTCTCTCTATTTTTTTTCTAATTACTGAAAGCATATGTATTATCCAGGTTTTAGTTCTCACTTTAAGGAATTGATTATTTAATTGGCAGTTTTTAAAAGCATACAAGATAGGAAGAAATTAGAAAACATGTATTGCAAATATTTATTCATATACCCTCTTTTTTCTAGATGGTATTTGCAAGTCATCAGACTGCATAAAATCAGGTAAGAAGATTTTTGAATTTAATAGTGTTATGATTGATGTGTAACATTCAAAAATCAAATGCTAATAAATGTATCTCTACATTTGTTTTGTTCATGCTTTTATGCATTATAGATCACTTATTAACAGACAAGGAAAACAAAACGTATTTAGGTAGTAGATTAACTTGTTTATTCTACAAAAGAACTTGTTCTTTAGCCCCGGAATATATGGTAGAGCAATAGAGAAATCTATCTCTAGCTTTATGGATATTGCCATGTAATTAGAGAAAGAAAATCAATATGTATGAAATGATGAGCATCATATCATTAAGCATTACATTTCTCAATGTAATCATTAGAGGAGTAAAAACTTTAAAAGGGAGTGTGTAGTCATTTAAAGCAAGTTGGAGAAGTTAAGACTTGGGACTGAAGCAGAGCTAGGGTTTGGAAGTAGAGCTAATAAAGAGATGTTTCTCCAAACAAGGAGAAAGAGCAACAAGAATAAATCATGTGAGAATTAGAAATATAAGCTTGATAGATTGGAGCACATTAGGAAGAGTCTTGAAAATCCATTTTCAGCCTCCATTTTGTAATAAAGGAGAAATGGATATTTATTTCCTTAACAAAACACTTAAATAAGGCAAAACTTGAAAGATGACCCAGAGAACGCTAAGCTGGGCATTGAGTGAGAAGCGACAAGCCAGTGAGGGCGGCCAGGCCGAGGCTGCTGCTGTAATCCAGGTGTGACAGAGAAGACTGGCCAGTGGTGGGACGGAAAAACAGATGGTGTGAAGGAAAAATTGAATGGTGCAGTTAAACTCATTTGTTAAATGGAAGGATATGAATAATTTGAAAATAATGCCAAGTTTTAAAACCTACGGGATTCAGAATGGCAGCAGCAACACAGATTGTTTTAGGGAGAGATGTGATGTTTGTTTCAGGGACAGATGTGATAATGTGAATTTGGAAATGTTGGATCTAAGCCAGAGGTAACAACCAAGTGAGAAGAGACAGCGGAATAGAAGTGTAAGAAGATCAGGATGGGGTGGATTTAGGATCTGTCACCAGAGGGTATAGCTGAAGCCCTCAGGAATATTTGAGTTCCCGAAAGGAGAACGGGGCTGTCTTTAAGAGGACATTAGAGTAGAAGGCAGACTGTTTAGAGATGGGACCAGAAAAGTGTATGGAAGTGCTACGGTGGCTGCGGATAGCCTCATAGTGCTGAAACTTAGCCCCTTACACCACCAGGGAGACCCCAGCACCAGTTATTTTCTGCTCAACATACTGACATGCATTGCCCATCTACTAGCTTTGCCAGAAACAAAAGAAGAGACGATTTTGCAGGGAAATGACTCTACAGGTACCTTGGCTGGGAGAAGGCAGGGGCCCCGTACCTGATTTGGGAGACGTTGTCAGAGTTACCATTTGCTCTTTCCCAAAACCTTCTCTTCTTTTCGCTCTACCAGTTGCCCTATGATATGCTCACACCTATCCTGTTTTGAAAATCTCCCACGTATCTCTAATTATCTCCAAGTTTCTTGGTTCTTAAAACACTTGACTTGTCTCTTAAGTCTCCTAATCTACATGCTGTCTTACATGCTATCTTCTCCAACTTTCTTTTTTTCTTGAATTTTATCTTTAAAGAAACCGGGTCCTTTGTCTAGGTTGGCACAGAGTTCTGGGCAAGATCCTTTAATGGTACCCACCCCAATAGGTAATGTGGTATTTGAAATCTGGCAGTTTTAATTTTTAGGGCTATGGCTTTGGCTTTTTATAGTGTTTGGCAGGTCTCAGCTCATTAAAGTGTATTTAACCTGTATCCTTTAATTGTAGCTTAGAAATCAGACCAAATGTAAAACACTTTGCAAAAATACATGTTGGCAGAGAAATTATATAATAGAAATAGCTTCAGTGGTAAACAAGGTGGCTGAATAGCTCTGTGTTTTCCTTCATTTTGCTTTGTTGACTCACAAGCCATTAGAAGACTTTCCTATTCATACTTCCTATTCATACTATTCTTCTTAGGGGGGAAAAATGAAGGAAACTCACCCTTATGGATACAGTCTCCACTTCCATACAGACACATCCAGTCTGCTGCTGATTAGGAAACCTTTTCTGTCGCAGAAAACACAGCTATCACTTTCACAAGTTGTTGCAAATTAAGAAAACTAGGGGAGATCTTGGGCAGAAATAAATAATAAAGAAAGGGAGAGTGAAAAAAGTGGAGTAGATGGAAAGGAAAAGAAAAGAAAAATGGAAAAAAATGATGTTTAAACAAAATAAAGTCATCTTCCAGCAATTCTATATAGATTATAGAATTAAACCCAAGCACAGAAAGTCATTAGAATTGGGAAAGTAGGTTTTGATACCCAATGTACTTGCTTTATTTTTTTTAAAGGGCAACTTTAATTATTTTTATTTATTTATTTATTTTGCTCAGAAGAACTGGTGTGTAGGCCAAAGGTATGAGGAGGGGTTGTGAAAGGATTCACCAGAGACAGAGTGGGGAGCACAAAATGTGGACTGACTGAAATACTCTGCTGAGGGGAGTGGCGAGCGAGACAGTAGAGGTCTGCTGTGCCATATGTGGGTTAGTTCCCTGGCCAGGGACTGAACTTGACCCATAGTGCTGATATCCCTAGGCCACCAGGGAGGTCCCCGAGGTACTTACTTTAAGTGAAAGTTGGTTCTAACTTAAAATCTTTCTCTCAGTGGAAGGAAATGTCACAGCAAGTGTTCTTTTCTCTTTGATCCTTTGAAGTCATAGATAGAAGTCAATTCATACCAACACAAAAATATTGCAGATGACTGTGTGTATTTTGAGATCTGTTTGGTGTTACTATTTTACATCAGAGCAACTATACACTTAAATATTTGTAATATGCATAAGAGATGTTTATAATACATACTTTAAATCAACTATTAACTTTGAAAGGAAATGCATCAGTGTGAACAATTACACCAGACCTAAAATAAAACAAAGATGACTTAACAAATAACAAGTCAAGGCAGTGCTCAAAACCCTATTATTAAAATATGAGTAATATTATTCCTCTCTTATTTACCACCTAAGATTGTCAAAAACATGGAGTTATAACACTTGTATATGATTTTGCAAACCTCTCTGTGCAAATCTGAATCCTAAAACAGACTTCCATTGCATTGCAACCTTTTGAACTCAGAAGATTTTGAGGAATCATAGCTTCAAATCAGGGTTTCTGAACTTCGTGTCAGTGTTGACATCTTAGGCTGGACAATTCTTTGCTGTGGGGAGGGAGCTGTCCTATGCATTCTGAAATAGTTAGCAGTATCTGTGTCCCTCAGGTACCTCGTAGCACTCTGTATCCAATTATGACAACCTATCAGTGTCTCCATTGATAAATGTCCTCTGGAATCCATCGAGTGTTTAATAACTGTATACCTGTATATACAGTTTATGAGAACTGATTACCTGCCTCCTGCTAGAACTTGGAGCTAAGAGACATAAGATGGCGCACAGAAAGCTGAAATCATTAAATCCAGACTGAGAAGGAGAATAAATAGCTCTTAGAGCCAGAATCAGGCTACTTTATCAAGAACAATGAACAACTTCATTAGTGATTTTAGCAAACTCAACATGAAATTGAGGGGGTTACAGAAACATATATTACCAGTGTGTGCCTAGATTCTCTAAGGGTTCAGAAGCTAAGTTGAGGTGCATGAGTGGGACAGTTCACAAGACAGTGCAAAACCTATATAGTCGTGAAGGTTTTACACTGCACAATTATGACATCTTTAATAGGCGCATGGAACCCTGATAAAACCTCTCAGAACTATCCATTTTCTATACTTTCTCTTTCTTTTTAAAAAAGATTTATTTATTTTTGTGTAGAGGGTATAGGTCCGAGGTGTGGGGGTGAGAGGATTCACCAGAGACAGAGTGGGGAGCAAAACAGGTAGATTTTACTAAAATATACTGTTAAGGGGAACAGCAGGTGAGACAGAAGTCTGCTGTGCCAAATGTGGGTTAGCTCCCTGGCCCGGGATGGAACTCAAGCAGTGGTCCATTGCTGTAATAGCGCTGAGACTTAACCCTTAGGCCACCAGGGAGGCCCCCATTTCCTTTACTTTCAGTCTCTACTCACTAAGCAAACTTTCAGTGAGTAGTTAATTATTATTACAAGAAACAGAGGCATTCTGTTCACTTAAAATATATGTTCAGCATGGTGGAATACTATATTCACATTTTGATTTGTTATCAATTTTGTCTGACTTGAGATACGACTCTTGAAATAAATGAAACTTCCAAATGTCTGGTCATTTCTGCAAAAGCCAGATCCTAGTCATACTCTAGGTGAAGTATCACCTGCCCACCTTTTTCTGGCAGCAACTGGGAAACTGTCTCACTGTCTCTAATTCTCAGCCGGTGAACACCTAGAAATCTCCTTGAAGAGAAATAGCACAACTAGATAAGAACAGAAAAGACCGGACACTATTTTCTGAATATTGCCAGCCCAGAGCAACTACCTTTCAGATTAGAGATGAGGCTATTTCATTATATAATTAAGTTTTAAAAAATCCTTAAGGCAGTAAGAGCGCAGCAGGTATCTTAGCGGAAAGAAGGCTGAGACACACCTCTTTAATTTAAATGTGGGATGTGGCGATTTGCTTTGGGCAGCTTCCCTGACACAGTTCTCCTGACAAATGTGTAGCAATGCTTACTTTAAAAATTCTCCAGTTAAAATTAGCATCTGTCAATCAAATCCTTTCTCAGAAAGGGAGCCAATTATGTGATACACACATACATATATATCATTTTTCTTACCTTCCAGTTTGAATTTTAAGTTAAAATTTGAGCACTGTTTTTAATTTTGAGCTTTCAACTGTTAGTGTACTATCATTTTTATTTTTATTTTTAAAGATTTTATTTTATTTATATAAGAACCGGGGTACAGGGCCTTCCCTGGTGGTGCAGCGGTTGAGCGCTGGGCTGCGAAGCTGCCTGCAGCCTCTGCAGCGCCGGTTCGATCCCCGGCCACCAG